ATCATATAAATTATCTTCTTTTCTGTGTATTTTCAAGAAAATGAATATGAACCAAACAGCAACAGAAAAAAACTTACATCAGAGGGTTTCAACGAATCCAGTGCCTTCCGGTAAAAGACTACATCTCTGTTTGTTGTAGGGCCACTTTGTTTCCCCTTCCATCTAAGAACAAATGGGAAGTGATCATGGATTGGATCCCGATTCAGCTTTGGACGACCGATATTCAGATGATAGTAACTCCAACACTGCAAGAATGATGATTAATGAACATCAGCAATTTAACTTTTTTAGTTGAAGCCAGTATTTGCCAGAAGTATTGCAAGAGATGCAGAAAGAAAGAAAAAGGTTATAGCACATAACCTGTAACAGTGTCAGACAACCACAAATTGTGCTTTGAGATTTGACGGAAGCATTTCCAAGTGCCCTGTACAAGAATGCCAATGCTGCTGCACCCCATGCAAACTTCCCAGCTTCCTCAAAATTTTCAAATAGAGGCAGGTACATAACAGGAACTTTATTCCCAGTGGTAGTAGAAAAAATTGTACTTCCTACTAAATACAAAAGGTAAGCACGTGTGCGGCATTCAACATCATCCATGGGTGCATCTTCAGGACAGTCTGAAAAGAACTCTTTCAACCAACTAAGCTTGACCATCCCGCCACTTGCATAAGTAGAGTCCGGTGCTTTCCCTAGGTACCTTTCACAAACTGTGCTACATGTTGTATATGTTATTCCAATCACCGGTTTCCCATCAATTCTGAGTCCAAGGAGAAGGGCAACATCTTGAAGGGTCACAGTCATTTCTCCAACAGTCAAGTGAAATGTATTAGTTTCTCTCCTCCACCTTTCCACCAGTGCAGAAATAAGTGGGTTGTCTAGGCTAATGGCAGGAATCTTTCTCAAGTAGCCAAATCCAGCTTTCTCCACCAACTCAATCTGTTTGGGAGTAAGCTTCCATTCTCCCAGCTTTGAGGTGTGTTCATGGCATCTCAATGCACCACGCTCCTACAATACGTCAAGAACAACAATTACACTACAATGAGACATTGGAAAGTCTTACGCCGACCGCGAATCACAAAAAGATAGATTTACATGTATATATAAATATATGTTGCATTTTTGAATCTTAATATCTTAGAGTAAAAATTGTACATATGCATATACCAGTATATGTTATACATTACACATATACCAGCATGTTTATGGATATCTATGATTATGAATCGAACCTGGCCATCCCAAACCGCAGAGGAGACATGTTTCTCTTGATCATAGAGAATAGAAGGATCGACTGGTCCAGGATTTGTCGCAGATGGGTCCATTCCTTACACTACTGATTCAAACCGTAAAAGAGAATGATGAAAGAATGCATCAAACGGGAGACAATAAATGGAAATATCAGTTGTGTAAAGTATCTTAAAAGACCAAACATCTACTGGTAGTCAGAGAACATATGTTCTGCAGTTACCGAAACACTGCAGTTAGAAGGTTCACGATTGCCACAAAGTTACACAACACCAAAACCTAAAATCCATCCCAAACGACATTTTACAATAAATTTTAGGAAGAATAACGATGAATATCACGTTTTTTATTTAGACATTTTTAAATTGCATCAAAATTTGTAAATAAATTGATAAATTGTGTAAAGAATCCAATTCCGAATTCGACAAGCCGCGGAAACCCTAAGATCTTCAAGACTCAAGAATCTAGCGAATAAACCACACATTAAAACTCCTTTCGGTTGCCGAGAAGAGGAGGGAAAGAAACAGACATGAACAGGAGCTTTCCAGTCTTACGGACTTCGATATTGTTTCTCTCTTCTAATCCACTCAAGAAAAGTATTAGCAAAAAAAAAAATTAAAATTAAAAGATCCAAACCAACAGAAGCGAAACGACGACGGAGAAGCTCT